TAATTTCTACAAACAACTCCGGAACCTATCAAATCACGTCCGATTGACCTCAAATTTTGCACACAAGTCTCAAATGACATAACAGAGGTATTTCAATTTTTAGAATCGATTTTCAACCCCGATATCAAAAAGTCAACCCCTCGGTCAAACTTCTCAAAAATAAAACTTTCGGCATTTCAAGCCTAATTCCTCTACGGACTTTCAAATAATATTCCGGACACGCTCGTAAGCCCAAAATCAACATACGGAGCTATTGGAATCATCAAAATTCAAATCCGAGGTCGTTTACACATAGGTCCATATCCGGTCCACTTTTCTAACTCATTTTTTAATTATGAGACTAAGTGTCTCATTTCACTCCGAGTTCCTTCTGGACTCGAACCCACTAACCCGATATAACATAATATAACTGAATAACACAAAAAAAAAATAGAAATAGGGAAAACGGGGTTATAACTCTCGAAACGACCGACCGGATCGTTACAGTTTATAGGTTATGATTCCAGCTTATTTTTGGGCTGCTTCTTAGCATTTTTTCAGGTCTAATGTTGAAATCATCAACATCATCTCTTGGATTAACTTCAGGCAAAGCTCCAGGTTCGATATCCATCTTATTTTTATCTTCATACACTGGGACAAAATCATGCAATTCAACCCTTGTTTGTTCAATATTTGTTGGGGCAATGTTACAAAACACCAACTACAAATAAAAAAAATTAACTTAGCAATCATGAAATTTATAAAAATAAAATACAGCCAAATATTATTTGCAGAAACTACACATCATACAGTTAATTGATATTATGTATATTAAAGGTATAAAAAATATATCATAAATATATAATTTATGTATACTGTTAGCATTTGAAGTAAATTCAAAAAATAAGCACTGCGTCAAAATATTGTAAAGTAAACAAAAATATTTTTTACCTGCTCCCGACTTAAAAGAAAAAATTCTTTCCTCAACCTCTTGAAGGTCACCTTCTTCTTTATAGTCTAGTTTAGTATGCGTGGCACAAGATCTCCAATCCGGTAAGATAGGTTTTTGTGAGTATAAGGGCAAAATTCATAAAACCAATACTGGAATGCCAAAGAAAAACTACCATAACGGTACATCTCTCTCCTGCTATGAACCTTATCCTTCATTGACTCCAACATAGCAATAAAAACCACTTTCCCCCAAGGGAATGTCTCAAAATCACCAGATTCAACTCATATAAAATCATCCTTTGTTATGAAATCAACATTCGTAATAGAAAATAGGAAACTGTGAATGAAATATAATACTGCAATCTTTAATGCGTCCTCATCAGATTTTCATATTTTTTTTAAAGAAACAGTCAGTTAATAATTTCTTAGACACTTTCGACATATTTGGAAAGTACAATTTCATCAACCGACTTGACTGGACAAATTCATAATCCTTATTGGGTTCACCATTACCAAAACTTTACAAGTCCAAAGCGCAACTTGGTGCTATTCATTCTAATCCATAACTCATCATCTTTTGGTGAAACCACTTCCCTAGGCAATAGTGAATGAATAAGTTTATTATGTATAAGAATTCGGGCAAATCCACAAAATAACCAAAACATGTTCTTCTAAATATCTCAAGCTGCTGATAATCCAAAGTATTTTTCAAATGTTTCACTATACTGTAGTTTGTATGCACACTGATATGAGTACAATAATGATCACCCAAAGGAACATAGTAATCCTAAAGGTGCAGACAATACAAAAATATAAATATATATATGCTCCATAACAACCACAAATATGCACTTTATATTTTACTTATATACTGTGTGGATAGATGATAAACTTTATATACAAATTGCATATTCCTTATCTACTTGATACAAATTATATACAATTTGAAAAAAATATAATACATTTTATATACAAATCTGGAACATAATTGCTATATTGGATACATTTTCTACATACTAAAATAAACTAAGCGCATATAAGTCAGAGTTATACAATTTAGAAAATACCTTCCAATCAGATGAGCTAGAACATTTTTTCTTTTGATCAACGTGAACTTTTTTCTTTTTTGATAGAACATCATCCCCATCCCTTTTAGCCTTCCTTTTAGAACCTTTACCCTTATCGTTCACAACATCCTTTCCCACCATTTTATACTTCTGCTTCACAATATCTCTTCCAACCATTTTAATCTTTCTTTTTGAACTCGTGTCTTTTTCAACAACTACACGCTAAGCAGTTTGTGACATGGTTACTTTATCACTGGGAGTCCCACTATGTGAATGAGTCCTTCTATCAATAGGGGTATTTTGCATTGCTTCATCGAATTTAGGGGTTGCATGCCCCAAATCGCACTTAGATTCTAGTGAATCAACAAAATTTTCACCATCATTCCTACTGAAATTAGGTTATATTTCACTCCTTTATCAACTAATTTCATAGTATTTGGAGATGGCATTAAACTTTCATTATCCATCAAATCGATTTATTACCTTTAGTTCTCTAAGTGAAATTTGCCGAACAATTTAAAATGTATCTTTGCACCTTTCCTATTTGAGAAAAATTACAAGTTATACTAGTATTTCAAATTAACATGCAATGAGAAAAACTACCAAATATATATTGGAATCTACCGAGTATAGTCGCCCCCGAAATAATAGTCGGTAAATGTATATTTTTGTATATATAAATATATAATATACATATAGTATACATAATTAGCATTTGTGTTTTTTATATATTTGGCAAGCGTTCAGAGGCGGACCTATCTTTAGGGTAGGGGATCAGCGGTAACTTGGAAAATATTGTATGTATATATGTGTATCTTTTTTAAATAGAAAGTATATATTTTAATTGATGACACATTAAAGACTCAAAGCTTAGACAGTTGTCTTGATCGATTTGGGGGAGGAGGAGTGGGGAGGGCACAATGTCCAACTAGAAAACATGTACTCCGTATCTACCTATTTATATAGGAAAATTTCCTAAAATTAGACATATATTTCTTATGTGTAACAATCAGGTGGCCAAGAAATGTCATTTGGGACTAGCAATATCTTGATTGCCAAACTGAAAACTCATGAAGCAATTCGGAGATAAGTACGGTAACCCAAAACAAACAAACTAGTGCAAAAATATATCCAATATTATCGTGAAAATAGCAAGGCCAGCCAGTTTTCAGATTGGTAATTGAAAAATAGTTAGCGTTTGCAAAGTCATTGAAAAATAGCCACTATTTTGCTGCAACACGGAAAGTTCCAGCATAATATACTGGAGATTGGTGCACATGTGTATGAACTTCCAACATATTATGCTGGAACTCCAGTATATTATGCTGGAACTCCAGTATATTATGCTGGAAGTTCACACGTAAGAAATTCGAACTCCAGTATATTATGCTAGAATATTTTTTGAATTTTGAACAGTGTTTTCGTTCAGATTTATCTTTACATAAAAAGTGGCTAAATTTCGATTACTTTTGAAACTGTGACTATTTTTGAATTAGGCTCAATCTTATCTGCAACTTTATTTTATGGATACAAATAATTGAGCAGAGGCCTCCAAAAGCATATGTACTTTTTGTGTGATTAATTAAGCCTTATAGTTTAGCTCAAATAAACCAAAGCAAACTTTGAACAAATTGAGTCATAAACGTTGTCACCTAAGCCTATATTTTTAGACTACCCAAATTTGGCTAGAATCGTCACACGCAGGAAAGGTAACTAGTTTCTTGGATCCTGTTAAACAGCTTTTGGTAAGACTGTACTCTTGGGAGAAAAATAAGATCTGGAATTTGCCTTTTTTTTTTTTTTTTCCTTCAAATTTATTTAGAAGTTATATTAATAACTAATGAGATTGCCCTTACAAAAAATCACTAGATGGATTTTCGTGTTGCAGTTTCATTTTCTCCTTCTACCTTCCTTCACCAGAAAAAGCAACCTCTCACCTCTAAGAAAACACCAAATAAACCTCTTAAGAAAAACAATTAATTAATCAAATACTATAACAATTCAATCCTGTGTATTTTTAAAACGCGTCATTAGAGTTTAAGACATTATTATTAGCGTCTACGACATGTTTTCTTTACATACCCACGCTTCTCTCGTGTTTTATCAATCATGAATTTGCCTACGGTGTTTCATGTGCACCCTCTTACGGACTCAACATCTTGAGTGAAGTTTGTCCCCACTATACTCTTCAAGGTTGCGCATTGACTAGTTGTGATATCATATGTAATAGCCTAATCCACAAGTGATATTTTCTGCTTTAGGCTTACACATGTGTGTCTTTAAAACATATCATTAGCATCACAACTTGTTTCTGTGTTTGGTGACATTTTGGTGGATGGATCTATTCCCAGGGGCGGAGCTAGCTAGAAGATTATGTACGAGTTCGGTCAAAGCCTATATTTTTATTCAAAACTTGTATTAAGAAATTATAAAAATAAAATTTAGAATCCAAGTATTAACATTTGATGTTGGTATGCTAGAACTTAAAACTCATAAATTTCAAATCCTGCTTCGCCTCTATTCCCTGAATGAATGTAGAAATAAGTGAGCAAATAAATAAAACAATCAATCAATTGATTGTATACTTTCACGAGTGCAAAACTTAGTAAAATATCCCATACAACAGGAATATATAGCCAGTGCCTTTACAAATAAAATGTCCATGCTGCTATTACAGTAATACTTATATATATCTACTCTTTCATCCTTTACATGCTCCAACATCTATGCTATACAGGTGCTTATAGTTTGGTTACAAGTTGAAAGGACACACTTGCAACTATAAATCACCAGCTGTAAGATGGAACTTCTGGATCTAACTTCGATAAGCTTTTATATCTAAAAAGTGAGCTTAAATATTAAGTCATGTATGAATTTGGGCACAATACCAATTCATTCTTCTCATTCTCAGATTATAGCAATGTCTTCATTCCTTGTTCTCGGTTATATTTGTATCGATAGGCGTTGAATCAATCAATTTAAATGAAACCTGCAAATCAGACATATAAAGGTTCGTTAAGAAACATAATCCCTGCAGTATAAGTGCACTTCAAAAATTAGAACGCTTTATGTTTAGTTGAGGTGCGCGCAAACTGGTCGGGATACCACAGTTCACAGTTATAAGAAGAAAAAAAAGTACACCAGAGAAGTTAGATCTATTTGAATTATGGCAAGAATCATTAGTTATCACCTAAATCTTACAATACTACAAATAAAATTGTAACCAACGTGAAATGATAACATCTTATTATGTTCTCTATAACGACTCCCCATGTGCATTTGTTCAATCATCTATTCAATTTATTCTTTAATTCCTTTTCTCCCATTGGTACAGTCAATAATATACTCAGAAAAGAAGCAAGAAAACAAATACAAAAGCATATCATGAATGCAAAAGCTCTTGCTTTTTATTTGTTTGCATCTTTATACTAAATAAAATGCATCACCTAAATAACAAATGAAATGAGGCTTTAATGATCACTTCAATTATAAACCAACCAAACAAAATAACCAGTAATGAAGGGAACCTTGAAGCAACGATAAAATTGTCTTTGTGTGACCTGTAGGTCACGGGTTCGAGCCATGGAAGCAGCCCCTAATGCTTGCATTAGATTAAGCTGCCTATATTACACCTCTTGGGATGCGGCCCTTCCCCGGACCCTGCATGAACGCGGGATGCCTTGTTCACCGAGTTGCCCTTTTAAACAAAACAACAAGAACTATGCCTGCGAGATAGGCTGATAGACATCGTAAAACTAGGTAATTTATGATAAATAATTACAATATAGAGTTCAGTTGTAATCCAAAGCTTCCTAATTTATTTATAATATAAAGTATTAGCTTGTTACTTACCAGTTAAACAAGGTAATGCCACATTTTGGTGTAGCACCATTTTCAATCTGCTTTAACCTCAAACCTCCACAAGAAACTCTTACTCCAATTTTCCAACTCTTCCATTCATTATATCCAATACCAATAGTAGTACTCACTTCAGCAGAAACTCTCAAATTCTTGCTCTTGAATCCACTTCTGATCACTTTCCCAACATTATCACCATACAACATTTCATTAGATTTCATAACAAATTTAACAACTTTAACACTCTTCTTCTCTTGCACAAAACCAGAAACTTTCCCTTCACCCATGTTCACATCATTTTCACCTTTAAGTTCCACTTTAGTTTCACCATATACAAACTTCAACTCCCTATTTGGATTTTTTAACTCAACCCCAACATTTGATTGTGCATTTAATTTTGGACCATCTTGATTTTCAGTGACATTGAATTTAGTAAACTCAAGGGATCTTAAATGGAAAACAGGGAGTTTTGGATTAAACCACAGGTAGAGAGCACCACCAGCTGCTACTAAAAATAGTAACAAAATTAGAAAAACAAAACAGCAACAACAACAACTAAAGCAACAAGTTCTACGCTTCTTTTCTTGGTAGAATGATGGTGGAAGGTTAATCTTTCGCAGCGGCGGCGGTTGTGGTGGCCTTTGAATTGGTATTGTAGCATCTCTGAAACCAGGTGGTTTCTTTAGAGGTTTCACCTGTGACATTCTTGAAAACCAGAAATTAAAGACCCTTTTCTTTTCTGTTTTTGTATATAAATAAAGAATCTTTATAATAAGAGAATGTTACGTTAAATCAAACATGATATGTGCTTCAGATTGTATAAAGTTTGAATCTTTGATCTGAATGTGAGAGATCAGATGTGAATGTAAAGTAATGACTAAGATTTAGGAATTAAAGAAAGGATTTTTGGGTTGGGAAAAAAGAGATCTTTTAATAGGAAGAGGAAGAGGTGGAGTGATTTGGAGGTGGAATTTGGAGGTGTTTGTGTAATGGTGAAGACAAAAAGCAGAGAGAAAGATGTTGGGGATGTGATCACTGGAAAAAGTTGAAGTGATGAGATTTATGCGCAGGTCTTATGTGCTGGCATAGCGGGAAGGTTTCAACTAGCACACTGAAAAATAGAAACGTTTAGGGTGGTCTCAATAAATTATGTAGGAATTATTAATACTTAACAGTAAAAATTAGTTATATTAGGAATTCTTTTGGATGTTAGGTTTGATTTATTACAAATTAATATATGTTGTATAAGTTAAAATATGTGTTTACTTTTTAAACAAAATAAAAAGTAAAATATTATTTATGTGGACACCAGAAAAAGCAACCAAACTTGGGCTTTAGTAATGTTGAATTTAGTATAGGTATTAAGGGATAATTGACCCAGAGACCCTTTATATAACTTATTTTAATTAAAAGACCTTCAAGTTTTAATTACTAGGTTGGTGACTTTCTTTCTTAATTAGTGTTAATATGTAATTAGAGTTAATGACAAGGTATAGTGAGAAAGTTCAGACCCAAACCCCAAAGTTCTATTTATTACATATTGATCACCATATAATTATAAAATTATTTCAAAAAATAGAAAAAAAATCCTGCAAAACCTGATACCCACCATTCCCCACCTTTTTCTTCCTCCTCTTCTTGCGCGCCACACCTTTCATTGTTACCCCTTTTGGCTTGAATTTTTCTCATTTTTTGGCATGGAGCTCAACTCTACGTTCTCCTTTCTTCCTCCTTTCCTCTCAAAATTACATTTTTAGCTCATCCGTATGCAATTTCATTTGAAGGGAAATCTCATATTTGCCGATTTGGAGATTGATTTGGTTGTACATTCAACAACAATAACAACAACAATCCAATAAAATTTTACAAGTGGGGTCTGGGGAGGGTAGTGTGTACGCAGATCTTACCCCTACCCTGACGGAGTAGAGAGGCTGTTTCCCGTAGGCCCTCGTCTCAAGAAGAGGAAAAGAGAAATAATATATCAGTACTATCAACAGAAAACAATAAAAATAATGACAGCAACATAAGAACCAGAGAATAAATAAAAAGCAATAATAATAACCAGTAGATAAGGCCCGACAAAAAAAAAGATAGAATAGTGTGAAAACAACATTAATCACTAGCAGTCTAAGACAATACCCTATGAGACTAGCCTCACACCTGTACGAAGTAGAAAATAATTCAACTACATCCTAACCTACAATCCTAATGCTCGACCTCCATACCTTTCTATCAAGGGTCATGTCCTCGGAAGTCTGAAGCCACGCCATGTCCTGTCTGATCACCTCTCCCAAATATTTCTTAGGCCTCCCTCTACCTCTTCTCATACCTAGTGTGCCCGCACATCCATCTCAACATCCTCATTTCTGCTACTTTCATCTTCTGGATATGTTAGTGTTTAACCGGCCAACACTCAGCCCCATACAACATGACCGGTCTAACCACCGCTTTATAAAACTTATCTTTGAGTAACAGATGCACTTTCTTGTCACATAGGACTCCAGATGCTAATCTCCATTTCATTCATCCAGCCCCTATACGATGTGTGACATCCCCGTCTATCTCCCTATCCCCCTAGATAATCGACCCAAGGTAGTTGAAACAACCTCTCTTGGGGATGACCTGTGATTCAAGCCTCACTTCCATGCCTGGTTCCCTCGGCTCCGCGCCGAACTTGCACTCCAGCTATTTTGTCTTGGTCCTACTCAACTTGAAACCCTTAGACTCAAGGGCATGTCTCCAAACCTCCAACCTCTTGTTAACGTTGCCTCGCGTCTCATCAATCAGAACTATGTCATCAGCGAATAACATACACCATGGCACCTCCCCTTGAATGTGGCGTGTCCGTGCGTCCATAACCCATGCAAATAAGAATGGGTTGAGCGCGGATCCTTGGTGTAACCCCATAACAACCGCAAAATGCACTGAGTCGCTTCCCACTGTCCTAACCCGAGTCTTAGCTCCATCATACATGTATTTAATCTCCCTAATGTAGGCAACCGATACACCTTTAGCCTCCAGGCATCTCCAAAGAACCTCTCTAGGGACCTTGTCATGCGCTTTTTGCAGGTCAATAAATACCATGATTTGGTTGTACATTGGATTGAAAAATACTTCTAAGGGATATATTTGTCCTCAGGTCAGCTGCTAAATGATGAAATATTCTTTTCTTCGTTATTGTGTAGTTTGAGTTACGCAGATTTCAGCCCTAGATCTGCAATTTGTTCTGCCACTCGATCATTTTATTTATAATAGACCACTGTTAAATAGACCAACCCCGACCATTGGTTTATAATCGACCTTTGAGAATTTAGTAATAGAAAACTATATATTCATATGTGATCATTATTTTAGTGAATGGATTTGAGGACAAATGATTGGACTTAAAATTCAAATACCTATTGATTTTTGTAGCAATGCTACATATAATGATTTGGCTGATGTTACTACTAAATGTGGCCAATTAACATGTTCATTGAGGCAGTTGTCCATCATTTACATGCTTAATTGCACCGACGAGGGAAAAGATACCTCTTTCATTCATAAAAAATGAAGATGATTTACGTACTATCTCGTGATGTTCAAGTAATAGTACAAGGCTCGGTACAAAGATATATATGGCTGAAGAAGCAGATGAAGTAGAAGATGAAAGGTTTTAGCAAGCTTCAAATGTAGAGCATCAACAGGACCATCACCACCACCATCAATTTTAGAAGTAGATGAAAAACAAATGATCGATGATGGCTTCAACGAATTTCGTTACGGGTTGGACGGTTTTAGAGAAAATAAAATAAATTTGTATGGTCTGGAAAATATTGATCTTATCAAAAGTACTATAGAGTATCAGAAAATAAAATTTGGATATTCGAAGAGAAATATTACAATGCTGAACAAAGGATAGATATCTTGAAGGAGAAACTCAAAGAATCTGAAGAATAAGTTGGAGGAAAAATTCAACTGGTTAAAACAGAGAATAATCAGTTAAAGATACGGAAGAACCAAAGAACTAAGCAAAGAAGAAAATCACAGGATTGTCGTTTGTTCTGTTACTGGCTTTTGTTGTTTGGAAAATAATGTAGTAGTTTAGTTCACAATATTTTTGTGTGTTAAAAAAATTATTTTGACCAAGATATAGTTGTATAGGGTGAAATATGATATGACGCGTGGTCATCTAAAGAAAAGATACGTGGAACCCAAGACGAGAATGGTCGAAGACCGAACGCAGCCATTCCGCTTGTCACCAGAAGGGATAATGTTCATGAAGGTGTATTAAATGCTTTGCACCCGGTGATACACTCAAATTATACCTAAATAAATGGTGTAAGGCGGTCGATATCAAATATGATAACCCAACTAGGTTGGGGTCGAATCTCACAGAGAACATGTATGAAAAGGTTACTTGAGTAGTGTGAAACTTTACTTAATTTGTAATCCTACTCCGTTAGCTTAAAAGTGAGTGTTGTAATTGTGAATTATCAATAAAAGCTATTTCGTTGATATGATTTGATTAAATTGATTAAGAAACTAAGGTTGTGTCTCCATCAATGGAATGTAATGCTAATGGTGTTCATATTTTATATTTTTTTAATGGAAAGCTCGTTGATATGCAAATGATTCCTACGTTACTAACTAATATTTTCCAATAATTAGATAGTAGTTCCTCTTTATGATTTTTCCAAATATAAAAGAGGTGATAATTAAGAACAATCACTTTATGCCAAGTAGAACCCACTTATCCCTAAGAGATTATATTAAACAAGGTTTAGAGCCTTGAGTTCTTGCTATTCAATTCTACCAAACTCTAACTTACTTTCTCAAGTAAAGATAGAATGAATTGGCACTAGTCAATGTTTGCAACCATCAACTACAATGAAGTATGAGAAATGAATAGAAATCGACTAACCATTATATAAACATTCACTGATGAACACACATTAGCATTACACCCACATAGGATTCACAACCTTAGTATTTAAACTTAGTTACTCATACTAGAATACAAAAATAATGTAATAAATAAAGTCATGAAACTTACAATTATAGACAAAGTCTTAGATTTTATCTCACAAGCTTTCAAAATAATGGTGCATTCAATGCTCTAAGTGTACCTTTCTTCTGTCAGACCAGATCTGACACAAAAAGCCTAATCATTCTATTTATAATGATCTAAAAGCCGTGGTCAAAACCTGACAAAAATACCCTTTAGAGATATTTTGCGATCGCAGAACATGCCGCAGAACTTAATTTCCATCGCTGAATTGGTTGATAATCGTCCAATCTTTTCCTTCGCATTTCAGTTATACGGCCCGCATATCACTTCTGCGACCGCATTATCCATCATATATTATCCTTCAGCTAATTCCTCTTATTATTGTGTGATCAGTATGCGGTCTGCATAAATGTTATGTGACCACATAATTGATTGCATACATGACGATCAATATCTGGAATAGACTGATTCATTATGCGATACTTCTGCGACCCACATATCAGTTATGCGATCACCTATGAGTTATGCGATCGCATATCAGCCGCATTTGCATCCTTTCATAGCTATTTGACAACTTCTCTTATGATTTTGGTTCTTCAAGTCTCGTCTCCTTCAAACCACTAAAACTACATAAGAAATGACTTACAATGCTTTAAAAGACGAGCTAAAGTCTATGCAATTAGTATTAAAAGTTTCGCAATTCTACGACACATCAACACCTCCAACTTAGACTCTTGATTGCCCTCTAGCAACTAAAACAAAGTCAACCTATCAAATACTAATCTACTTCCGACAGATCACATAGCAGTAGTGACTATGGATGGTGCTGACTGTTAGATAACAAGCATGTAACTTCTTTTATTCACCCTTCTTTGAAGACAAATATCATTTAACAATTTGAATAATCAGTTTGTAAACTTCGAGCCTCAAGAGCAATCACAGAGTGCTACCCACATCTAGATATGCACTTGTATCCTACTTCAAGAAACCTAACTTCTGCTAAATCTTGTAATTCATGCGTGCTCTCATCAAAGAAATTCCCCAACTCAGCAATTATGTACAAGGGATACAATCAAACACTTTTGCACTCAGAAACAAGGCTAAGTGCTACAAGTATTAATCTA